TTCCAGATTTTGAACTTGAATCTCTTCCCTTTTTTGGTTACGTTTAATTTTTGCTGCCGAAGAAATTTTAGTTCTACACTCAAAACATGTTTTTTTTAACCCATTTGCGTTTGTGCCTTTATTTTTTGTACCTTTAAAGGCTTCAATTGGTTTTTTAACATAACAACGACTGCACTCTTCCATAACAATAATGCTTATTAACTAAAAAGGTAAATACGAAAGTATTTTTTTTACTGTATTACAATATTAATAATACAAATCGAAATCGTATGATAATTTGTATGATATAAGAATGATGTAAATCACATGATCTGTAACTTTTTTGGGTGGCGATTTAACCCCGGTTTGCCAAGTGCGTCTTGGTCACGCGTTATTTAGTGACGGGAATCGGTCGACACTATTCGGGTTAACACTCATAGGCAGAATTTTGTCTGATTGGCTAATAAATTCAATTTAATTTTACATTATTTATACAGTTTAAAAAAAAACGAAAACTAATCATAATGAAATAAAAAAAACTGTATAGAAGGTTTCATCAGAGCTGTAGGACTTCATAGCCAAAAATAAGATCTAATTCTCATCCGTTAAAAAAAATTAGCTTAAAAATAAGTTGATTTTATCGGGTTTTGAAAAGTTATTACTATACTAAATTTTTTAACGGACGAGAAATAGATCTTATTTTTGGCTATGGAGTCCTACAGCTCTAATGAAACCTTTTATACATTTTTTTTTTTATTTCATTATGATTAGTTTTCGTTTTTTTTTAAACTGTATAAATAATGTAAAATTAAATTGTATTTATTGGCCAATCAGGCAAACTTCTGTCTATGAAGTTAACACACGTCTTTTATTCAAGCAATGATGTAGGTTTTTGTGTAACAATACACAAGGATATCATGTAAGGATGCATAAATAAGAAATTTCAAAACTGTGGATTCTTGTGATCAGTCGTCCCTATAGAGAATGTGTAATTTAAAAGCCATTGAAAATATTATTAAAAGAGCATCAAAAGCTACGTTGAAATTTTCTGTTCGAAGTCCATTTTTGATTGAATCAGAAGATTGCAACGACAATTATTCTATACTGTCTTGTGCTTTTACATAGCAAAGGTGCCAAATAATGGGCAAATTAGCCAGTATGTAATGGAATCTAAACGAGACAAAATCTTAGTTAATATACATAATATGATCGTGAAATCACATCATTAGCTTTATTTTATGATTTTGAGGCGTTTATGTGCGTTATTTCAAAATAAAGTATCAAATTTTTAGCATGCATCAAATACGCCAATACATATTAAGAGCGTGTTATTCGTTATTCCGGTGCGTGCATGGGTATTATTTTGATAGGCAAATCAAGTTTTTTTTAAACCTTGAGCGAGACTTCCTTGACAGCCACTTAATCAAATTCGACGAAAATTTTTTATTTTAGTTTTGCAAATGTATATAATTAAAATAAGAAAGTAATTTATAGTATTAAAATAAGAAAGTAATTTATAGTATTAAAATAAAAAAAAGGTTTATTGAATTTGATAGGCAATTATCATCAATGCTTAAAAAAATTGATTTCGTCTATTGATAAATTGTTTTTAAAATTTTTTAAAATCTTTGAGCAAAGTTTTCTTGACAACTACCTGACCAAATTAAATGAAAGCTTTTTATTTCGGGACACTTGAAGAATAGGTACCCCAGTGATAATCACATCACATGAAATCATGCAATCACATCATTTGTTTACCAGCACTAAAAAATCGGCCTAAACTATACTATCACCTGACCCTAACACTAACCCTAATTTGGGTCAAGTGCTTAATCATGTGAAGTGATGAGCACGAAGATATCACGGAGGTACCTGTTCCCTTTATTTCAATTCTATGAATATGTAGAATTGAAACTCTGAAAAAATTTGTTCTATTAATCAAACATAAATTTTTTTATAACTTTGAACAAAGTTTTCTTGGCAACCACCTAAACAATTTCAAGGAAATTTATTATTTCAGTTTTACGAATATGTAAAATTGAAATAAAAAAAAAATTCATTATATTTACAGTAATTAGGTTGTTACCAGGAAAACTTGATCTCAAGTTAGAAAAACTATCTGTCTATTAATAAAAACTTCAAAATTGTTTACATGCAAGTAATCGATCGTTATCACATGACCATAAACCGAGCGCAGTTTATAATTTTGCTTACACGACGGTGATAATGAGATGTGAAATTCTCTATTGATCATATTTTTCAATCACAATAAAGTCTATATTTATTCGAAATCTCCAAACCAAATTTTGTGCAACTTCTAGCTAATCATATTGAGAGAGCTGCCGTTTCACGACATTTTACATATTTCAGAGGCAAAAATCAAATTTTACCGTTATGCTAAATTGATAGCTCTTTCAAAGTAATAACGTTACTAGACAAATTCATTATTAAAAAATTTACTAAATTTCAAACTGACTATAGTTTTTCCAAAATGATAAACCGTCGATGGTGTAGAATTATTATACCAATATTATGGAGTGAACCTACAAATTATACCAATGATAAAAGACTTATAAGAATGTATCTTTTAGCATTAAATACTGAAGAGCAAGCTCTATTAATTCCTTTTAAAAGTATTCTTCCAAATTATCCAAGGCCATTATTTGAGTACGAAAGTTATACTACCTCTGTTGGGTTTTATTTGTCCGATGGAGTCAAAAATTGGCTTAAAAATGAAGGGTATGATATAAATTTTTGGATAGAAGATATATTTGCAAATGCTCTCGAATGCACTTTAGTTGAAATGTTTCTGCGAGCAAGTAAAAATCTTAAACATTTAACGCTTAATAATGCTATTAATAAAACAATATTAAGCGCACTTTGCAAGAATACCACGCTGTCTTCATTGAATCTTTATTCTTATATTCTTAAACCAGAGGAAAGAAATGAATTAGTAGATGCACTTAGTAAGCTAACTTCTTTGAGTCTTTATTGTAGTAATCTTAGCTTAGGAGGAGGGAAAGTATTAGCTGATGTAATTCATAAGAACACTACGCTAACTTCGTTAGATATCAGTAACAATAATCTTGGATCAGATGTCGGAAAAGTATTAGCAGATGAATTTTGCAACAACACCATGTTGAAAGATGTGAATCTTTATGGTAATGATCTCGGATCGTCCGGTGGAAAAGCATTAGCAAATGTACTTTGCAAAAACACCATACTAACTTCTTTGAATCTTGGCAATAATGATTTTGGATTAGACGTTGTAAAAGCATTATCTGATGCACTTTGCAAGAATAACATGCTGATTTCTTTGTATCTTGACGAGAATAATCTTGGATTAAAAGGAGAAAAAGCATTAGCAGATGTACTTTGTAAAAACACTACGCTAACTTTTTTTAAACATTAACAGTAATAACCTTGGATCAGAAGGAGGAAAAGCATTAGCAAATGCGCTTCGCAAGAACACCACGCTGACATCTTTGTGCCTTGGTAATAATAATATTGGATCAGAAGGAGGAAAAGCATTAGCAGATGCGCTTTGCAAGAATATCACGCTGACGTCCTTAGATCTTGGTTGCAATTATCTTGGATCAGGAGGAGGAAAAGCATTGGCTGATGCACTTTGCAAGAACGTTACACTAACTTCTTTGAATATTACTTATAATAACCTTGGATCAGAAGGAGGAAAAGCATTAGCAGATGCACTTTGCAAGAATACCACGCTGACGTCTTTAGATCTTAGCTACAATGGTCTTGGATCAGAAGGAGGAAAAGCATTAGCCGATGCACTTTGCAAAAACACTACACTAAATTCTTTGGACATTTCTGATAATAACCTTGGATCAGAAGAAGGAAAAGCATTAGCAGATGCACTTTGCAAGAATATCACGCTGACTTCTTTGAATCTTAGCTTCAATAGTCTTAAATCAGATGTAGAAAAAGCATTAGAAGATACACTTTGCAAGAACAATTCCCTAAAGAAATTGAATATTTGTGGTAACAATATTAATTTTATAAAATCAAATTATCCAAACATTAAAATATATCAATAAATTATATATTGCGCAAATGCAAATGTAAACATTATAGTAAATAATGTAACTAACGTAAATTGGAATTTTATAAATAAAGATAAATTATATGAAATCACTTTCGCACTATAGCAAATTTTTTACAAAATCTTAGCACACATCATGTCTTTGTCATGGACTTCAAACTTGATATTAACATAAGATTTTATTAGCTTAAATTTCTGCACACCTATATTATTTCTCCAGAACTTTTTTGCGACTACTGTATAAAATTATTGAACATGAAACAGTCAACATGAGAATTATTTATAAAATGATTTATTGCCTGAAATTAAACCTTCCAGCTTCTTGGTCCAGAAGAGGCCCAGAAACTGATACATTAAATTAAATTTTATAGCCAAATAAACAAATATTATTATTTTCTTAGTTCACGATAATTCTGCTTAACAAATGATTAGATCTATTTGGTAGGTGTTATCATAGCAGCTATTCGACTAAAAATATTTTCCTGATCAATGTATCTGAATTCCTTAAACCAACCTGTCAGTCTTTATATTTACACGTGTTTTAACATCAAATTTTTTCACTAGACGATTAAAAGATAGTTGTTCGAATTTATAGCATTATTGTATCATAATTACAGTGGTCTATTTGATTAATTTATTTAATGAGTGTTAAGATCCTTAACTATTTGAATAGTCTAAATTTATTCTTCGTGCGTACGTACATGACTGTATTGGTCCTACGTGGCATTACATGCTGCACAGCTATTCTTATTAATTAAATCGAATAATAAAATTGACAAATATGATAAATTCGATAAAATCACTAATAAAACAGAAATGTAAATAAAGATGATAATAAGATAATGACACTGATAAAGACGATAATACCAATAAAAATAATGAATATAATGACGATAAGTCTAACAAAAAGTAAAAATAATGAAAAAATAATTGCAAACTATTACTTGCTTAACCCTAATCACCTTTTCGAAGGACGTAAATTTAAATAAAATTAAAGTTTAAAATTATTAATATTGCCCATTAAAGTCGTTTGAATATTCGGTTTAAATATGTAATAGATTAATTTCTGCACGCAATTAATGCTTAAATTAAAAGTTATGTATTTACTGGTAAAATTTCCAAATGTAAAATTAAATAATCCGGTTGTTATTAGTGATCATTTTCCAGATGACCGCAAATTTCACAAAATTATCGATTATAATCAATAAGAATCTCTATCACATTTAATCGATATGAGTGATTAACTGATGATATATGTAATGGTTTTAGTAGAATTCGATGATCTACCTCAACACTAGCTATAAAGCATGCGATCCCTAACCTAAATCAGGCCAAATTTATCGATGAAATAGCGGCCGGCGAAATTGATTTATACCTCACGGTCCCTGCTGGTGTAGCCTATTTTTGAAGGTTCGATCATCCCCACGGTCTGCTGGGGTAGCCGGTTCCATCACTACAAGAAACGAGCGCTTAATACTGTAGGAATACAATATTGCACCATCATTTTGACAATAATTTTCGCTAAACCACGACCTTCATTTTCTATTTTCTGATTGGAGAAATTGCATACATATTGTCACGGGCTAAAAGTGACATTTCCAAAAATAAAGATGAACCTGCGTGCCGTAAAGGTCAAGGCTTTAAATCTTCGGTTATAACACGAGTCTGCGTAGAAATGGGTTAAAATTCTAAGCGAAGCTGCAAAAGAAAGCATTAAGAATATATAATCACAGCCTCTTTTAATCATACTTCCCAAGAAGTTACTTAAAGGGACAAAGAAGGTACAGTACATAAATTAAAAACATCACAAATCATCATAGTCACACTTCCGGTGAGTTGTTATTCGTTCATTTTATCGTTGTACGTTAAATTCACTCGTGACAGTATGAAGTGATATGATAATACCGAAACCATAAACCATTAGTTACTATTTCAAATGAACTATTTTATAATTAACTTCATAAATTAGTCTTGAAATATTTACATTAATAACTCAAATTGTTATTAAAGTGATTAAAATTTACAATTACTATCACATATACACAATTTCTTATTGTGCGACTAAAAAAGCACCTTTTAAAAACGACCAACCCAAAATTAACACGTTCGCTGACAAAAGAACCTATTTTATTATTTCAAACCAACGAGTCTACCCCTAAATCAACGAATTTTATTATGTCGAACCAATGAATTCACCCTAAACCAATGAGTTTAAGCTAGTGTAAAGTGAATTATATTAATGAACAAAATAATTTTACATCACCATAACAAAATAATTTTGGGTATAAACAAAATAAGCACATAATATGTAAATGATACATTCAGACTCTAGACACTAATCTCGTTCCCACATTATGATAATATTGATATTCCTTGTCATCCATCTATAAATCAAGAAATATAAATATTTGATTTAAAAACGAAACAGTATTTCAATTTCAAAGCTCATTATTATATTTTTCTTCATCTGAGGAAATTTCAAAATCTTGCATATTTGTTAATTCTTGGGTTTCTTGGATTAATTCTAATAATTCTAATAAAAAAAAGGTAATTTTAAAACGAGAAACAATTAATTTTTATAAACACTCAGAAATAACTTACTGTCTGAATTTTTAGGTTTTGGAAGATCTTGGAAGTCAATAAGTTTGCTTGTATATATGCCATCTAGAAGTTTACTGGTATATTTGTCATTTGAATAAGTTTGCAAACTTGAAGATGAACCAGAACCTTTTTTATCTGCAGATATAAATGCATTTTTAATTGAAATTTCCTCTTCTCTCTTGACAGTATATCTGAATGTATCACACCATGAATCTATCAATTTATAACAATCGCCCGCAGTCGGTCTCTTGGAAGGGTCAGCATCCATACATTGGAATGCTAATTTAATATAGATTTTTGGGGTTCCTTTTCCAAATTTAGGACGCAAGCCGTTGATTATTTCTAATGCAAGAGAAATATCATGCGGAACTTTCCAATGTGGTGGTTTTCCTGAAGAAATTTCAGTCATAAGGATCCCAAAACTATAAATATCAGAAGCTTTTTCATATGGTTTTCTACATAGAACTTCTGGAGCAACGTAAGGTAATACACCATAAATGTCCTTTTCTTTAGATACATCATAAATGTCTTTTTCTTTAGTATTTGTATTAGCATGTCTGGCCAATCCTAAATCTGAAATACAAGGATAATGGTCACTGTGTATTAAAATGTTTCCACTGTGGAGATCACGATGTACACTTTCATTTTTATGGATCAAAACTAATTCGTCAATAATCTTTTGTAAAAAAAACAATTTTGTTTGCCAATTGAGTTCTTTAAATTTTGATTCAAGGTAGTGCCGAAGATTACCATTATCAGCAAATTTTAAAACCATCATGTAATTTTTTGTATCTGGATCCTGAGTTAAGCCGTATAAATTGATGGAAGAATATTTATAGTGAAATTCGATCTAAATCAATCATTATCATGTAATTATAAGTATAAAACCTAAAATATACAAGTAAATTTAAAGTAAGAGTAGTAAACATATATTACCTCTCTTAAAAAATCATTTAAAAAATCGTCCGTGATATCTTTAGAATTATTCAATAATTTAACCGCAACTTGCAAATTTTTTTCTCTTTTCTCTCCTTCCTCATTTATCATCTCTCTTTTCCCATCTAACCATGTAGCTGAGTACACTATACCATATCCACCTTTTGCAATTAGCTTTAAACCTTCTAATCTGTTAAACGGAATCCATTCCACTACATTTTCGTATTTATCCGCTGATTGTAAAGCATCTTGTAAAAACTTGTCGACCTTTTTATTTCCTGTGCTAGCCGAGTTTACACTATCACAAAATTTGCACCATGCATACGAGTAATTCTCTCGTTCGCATATTTTACAAATTCCAAAATCTATGTTTCTCTTGGTAGTGCTCATGAGATACGTAGTTATGTAATGTTAATTTATTAATTAAATTAGTTATAAAGTTTTTAATTAAATTAGAATAGTCGATCTAAATGAATAGAATTTAATTCATTGGTCTAGAACATAACATCGTATATGAATTAAAAGCAATGATAATACATACGTACGTACGTACTGTACGTACTTCGAGAAAGTGTGTATACGTTAGATAAAGTTTTTGTCAATCACGAGATCGGTTTAAAGTTTGCCAAATATATTTTGTAAACACTCATCTGATTATTTAGTTCTCTAAATATGGACTATGCCAAATTCACAAGTGTGCACACAAATGATCGTACTGGCGCCTTTTCTATATCGGGGTTGATTGTATAATTACGAAAAAGAACAATTCGTGTTTTTTATATTGTACAGGTATAATCTAAATTAAAATTGTAACGGTATATACCGATACTTTCATAAGTGTAAATTCAATCAAATCAAAACCAAAACTTGAACGTAGGTTATCTGCTAATGCGAGGCAATAATTTAGTATTGGTTATTTTTTACTTACATGTTTACTTAATTGATGTTTGCACATTTGTCCAGATTAAACCCAATGAATATTGACGTCAAAGTTCGATGAAATATAACCTTTTTATAAATATACGTACGTACGTAATCATAATTTTCAAAGTTTATAATGTAATTTGATAAACTTAAAAAAACTTTATTCGATCTTATATATTATATAACAAAAAATTCGAATTAACGTATAATTAACGTATAAAAATATATAATGAATATGATTCAAACTCAATATACTAATAAAACATATAGTTACGAATAAAAAAAAATTTAACTAAAAATAAAATTAATTCAAATTTACTAACAAATGATGTAAAAATTCGTGCGCTATATTATAAATATTAACTGTATCATTATTTCTTTTCTTTGGGCCTGTAAGAAATAAACAAATTGTGTAAAAATTCGTGTGCTATATCATAAACAATAACACGATCATTATTACTTTTCTTTGGACCTGTAATAAATAATTTTTGCACATTTTGGCTTTTAATCCATTTTGTAATTAATTGGATTTTATTCTTATTGTCTTCAAAATTTTCTTCAAGATGGATAATTTTTGTTTCCTTTCCTTCAATAACAGGAAGTTTTTCATTATCAAATTTTATATTTGATATATTTAAAACTAACATTTTCTCAGCAAGTTTGAAATTTTCTTCATTTCTTATGGAGTATAAAGCAGTATTTGATTCTGAGTATAAATTAGGATCCAATTCTTTAAGTGAATATTGTTTTGGTAGAGTTCCATCTTCTGCTTTTCTTTCTGGTAAACAATAACCTTCAATCTTTAATTGATTTTCTAAAGCAGCATCTAATGTTGCTCTTTCAACTCCTGTTTGATCACCAGAAATGATTATCATATTAAAAATAACAAGGCATAAATGTTTTTTAATAAAACATGAAAGATTTTTTAAATGTTTTTTAATAAAACATGAAAATTTTTTTATTAAAAAATTATATATAAATAATTTAAAAACAATATTATAATATTTTAATTGTTTGGGCTGAGAATTTTTAAACTTATTAAAGTAAAAATTTAGATGATCTATAATTTTAATTTTTTTACGAAAATTAATAACTTTAGTATTGTTTATTTTTAGAAATAATATGGTGTATTTAAAAATAATTTAATAAATATAAATAATTTATAATTTACTGTATATAATAATAATTTTTTTATAAATTTAACTTTATAATAAATAACAATATATAAAATATATATAATATTAAAAACTTATATTTAATATAAAAACAATACATATATAATAAAAATAATATAATAATAAAATGATATATTTAATCATAATTTTTAAAAACTGGTTTAATATTTACATATGTACGTACGTACATATGTACTTACATAATAATTAAATATGCCAATTTATTTCTAATAAAGGTTTCGTCCTTTTGCGTCAGCCCTTGCATAGCCAATATCAAAAAGGAATTACGCCGTTGTACGTAACACCATTGCCCGTACACTCATCAAATTTATTACGATAATAGTAAAATTAAAAACTTTAAATTCATATCGATAAAAAACAAAAATGATTATCATATTAAATTTCCTAAAATCTCTCATAGTCCCGATCTTTTGTCTAGCGGCGATAACAACGATAAAAACTTATTCCTAAATAAATAAAAAAAAAACATTTGCTTAAATATATATATACGTACGTACGTACGTACGTACCAGAATTGTAAATTACTATAATTTATAAATTTTTTAATGTAAGTTACCGGACATTCAGTAATGTACGCATGTACGCACGTACGTACGTACGTACGTACGTACGTTGTAAAACAGTAAAAAGGTAAATAATTCTCTGATTCTAGATAATGCCGATATACACTTCAACACAACACTAATTACTAACTAAACTACTCTAACCAGAACACCACAACCAGTACAACCAAACCCTAGTATTGGTAAGGCAACGATCGAGGTGTGGAAAGACTTGTCCGAGTAACCAGAGTTAATTGGGTTGGTAGAGATAGTGTCGGATTAGAGCTCTGAATTACATCACGAATCTCTTTTATAGAGTCACGGGTTTGGTCACTAATTCCTTTCGTTATTATGGATTTTTACTTATCGGGGGAATTAGTAAAGCAGCATTTTTTTTAATGTTGAACTCCACAGAGTTAGTCTTTATTCAAGCGAAGAGTCTTTTATTTCTTTCACATACTTATAAAGTACATAACGACTATAGTTAACATATCCACTATGTCTAACATATCCAACATGTCCACCACGTTCGCTATGTTTACTATATCGACCATGTACGCTATAATGAACATTCTTTCTATCTAAGAAATGATCTCGTTCTGCTTACTACTTTTTAGGAAAGTTATTGAACAAATACTAACGCTAACTAGATTTTTCTAAGAAAGGAAAACAATTCACAGCCAGAAGCGATTATATATACGTACTGTATAACTAATAATAAAAAATAAAATAGAACAGAATAACTATAATAAAAAAAAACATATATTGTGAAACGTCGCCGCAGAGCCCGTCACAAAGTACGTACGTACTGTACGTACCTGGGGGTCGTCTAAAGCGGAGCAGAATCACGTGATATATGACCAATCAAATTATAGAATTTTGATGATCGCCGGCGAA